TAAAAAATAGATACTTAATATCAGAGAACTCGTGTCACTGGACAGCTCTTGACTAGTTTAAAAATCTTGAATTAATTTATAATATAAAGGTATTTTAAGCCCCTTTTAGACCTGAGAAATTGTAAGTTTTCATTAAGATTTCATCATGTATATTTGTTTACTTTTTGCAGCTTATTATTCTGTAAAGTCAACATTTTCTTTTTTTCCCACAATATGTTCTGTTTTTCTTCCCCCTTTTTTATATTACATATATTATTTTATTTTATTTGTAATCTGCAGCAGCTGTTCCTGCGAGGCACCGAGCAGAGGGTTCTGAGCAGGGATGCCCGTTAGGTGAGGGAGGGCTGGGTTTGGAGCTCCACAGCTCGTTGTAGGGCCGTGCTCCCGGGGAGAGCGGGAGTGCCGGGACAGCATTCCCAGCGGGACAGCCGGAGAGGGCAGCGGGCCGGAAAGGGGCCGCCGCTCACCTGCGGCGGGAGCGGGGCCGGGAAGGAGGGAGCGGGGCCGGCGCTGCCGGGCTGTGCACCCTCCAGCCTGGCACAGCCACGGGCGGGACAGGGCACTCCGGACGATCCTGCCCCGGGCCGGGGCTCGCTGCTGCTGCCCCGCCTTGTCAGCAGCGGGCACGGGCAGAAAAAAGAGCATTGCCCTCGGTTACGAGCTCTGTACGGCAAAAAAAAGAGGGGGAAATGTTGGAAGATAAACAGAACTGCGTCTGTAGCACCCTTAAAATCCTGCTGATGCAACACCCCACTTAATGCCTCCTTTCTTAAAGAAAAAAAACCCAAAAAACACCCACTTGTCCTCCTGCCAGAGTTTAACTTATGTTGGTACCAGTTTAATGCCAAGTTTTCCATAAAACACCATTGTTAAAATACAGTGTACCGGAGGAAGTGTTTTTGCAAAATGCTTCATTATGTTTGGAAGGGAAGGGTGTGGAAATATGTCCTTATTCAGCTTGCCTTTACAGTTTGGATCTTTTCAGAATTGTCTGTTCAGGATTTCAGTGTTTCCCCCCGTGATTAATGGGCCACTGATCCATTGGAATTAATGCAAGTTATGCAACAGTAGATAGAAGTTTCCCAAGTAACCTGCCTGCTGTGTGATCGCTGTCCTTTCCCTGGGGTGCACCAGCTGCAATCCTGCACACTGTCTGGGGCTCCTTTGGGAGCCATGGGCAACACTGCTTTGCTTTTATAGATAGATTTTAATAATTAGTATTTTTAATTCCTGGAGAGTGCCTTGAAAAAGAAAAGCTCTCTAAATGTTAAGTAAAGCTATTCTTGGCGATGCACTGGAATTATAACATGCATTGGAATTATTTTAATGGTACAATAAAAAAAAGGAGAAATTATACTTTTCTGGATAACTCAACCCTAAAAAATGTTTGATTGTATTATTTTTTAAAAAAACAAACATGTACCTGATAATGTTTTATTAATTATTATTTATATTATTTATTATTTTATTAATTACTTATGATTTATATTTCTGGTGGCTGCTAGATTAAAAACCACTCCATATTGAAAATTAACTATATTGTCTGGAAAGCAAAAAGGTCTGTTCAGAGGTGACCTCAGTGTGGATGTCTGTATCACACCAAGCTGAGACCGAAGAACAAGAGATGCTGCTCTGAGTTAAAATAGAATCAAATGAATTAGTGTTCAGCAGGAGGATTTATAATGAGTTTCCGATAGGCAGAACTTGTGATAAAGGGAAAGAGAGAGGTTATAGAATTATGTAATAGTATAAACTGCGGTGTGAAAATACTGGCTTGCTACTATTTACATAATTTGAATTTATGCAGGCATGCTGAATCTTAAAATAATTCCTCCACTTCCCTCTTTGGAATTCCATTTCTGTTAAGTGAAGCTTACAGGTTGGACTTTGTATAATTGTTTTCCTCTTTCCTGAATCCTTGTTTTGTAGTGCTGTGGTAAGCTGAAGTTAGCCAACTTTCAGTGCAGTTTGCCCAGGTGGTGACAGATAGAACACGTTAATGTAGCTCTGAAGGGGAGAATACGAGCCCTAACTGTGGAAAGGCGAGGCACTTTGAACCCTCCAAAGGCACAGAACTGTCCCTGTTAGGAGCGGGCAAAAGCAGGGAGGAACCACAGCTGTTTCCACATTTATACAAAAGTGAGAAATCAAGGGTAGCCATAGAGAGTAAAGAAAAGGAGATGGATATTTTATATAGAAAGCATACAAATAAATAAGGAGCTAAAGGTAGTGTCTGATAAACAGGGTAGAAAGTCATTCAGAAAGCTGATTAAGTACAAGTGAAACACTGAACTAAGCTCCTTGTATACTTAAGTCCAATCCTTCCCTAAAAACTAGGTCTGCCCGTTATTTTACATGGGCATTAAAAGTTGTTGCCTGCGCTCTCGCATGTAATCTCTTTTTTTCTGTGCAGGGTTAACATTCTCATTTGTGCATGTTCTGTTAAAATAAATACTATCAGGAATGTCGTGCCATTATTTTTAAACAAAAATGATAAGAGTTTTAGCTGGACATTACGGCTGTCTGCTGCTAAGGCTGTTATGCAGAAATTTTGCTTGCTTTTACTTTTTAACCACCCAGAATTTAGGCACACGTATCCTCTGCATCCACAGTCTATATGCAGTAGAGACCAAAGTTATTAGAAGAGGTCAGAATTACTAGGTGTCATTTTACCAAAATAAAAATTTGTGGGAAAGTTACTGTTTAAATATCTTGTCAACTATGTCCTGATAATTTTTAGTATGCTTTTACTATAATTCCCTAAAAATAAGTATTAAAAACATTTTGTGGTTTCACACCATTAGAAAAAAAAAGTTGGTAAGGGTAAACCATAAAACATATATTTGGCTTACAAAAGGAAATGTTTATTCTCCTCGAATGCCAGTGGTTGAGTATTTTCTGGAGATGTGAGGCTGGAGGGAAATGTGTAACAAAGATTCCCTCGCTGTGGCACTGCAGGAGTCAGGGATGCTGCAGCACAGCCAGCTCCAGGAAAGCCCCCCGTGCCCCCTGTGCCTCCTGGCTGTGGCTGGGGGAGCAGAGGGGTGGGAGTCAGGCCTGGGCACAGGGAGCTGGGCACAGGGAGCTGGGCACAGGGAGCTGGGCACAGGGAGCTGGGCACAGGGAGCTGGGCTCGGGGCTGTGCTGCTCCAGCCGTGCCACAGGCTGTGCCCGTGGCTCCAATGGCTGCCCTGTGGCCTGGGACACCTCGGGCATGGCTGGAGCCTCTGTCACCATCCTGGCCACAGCTGGGGATTTCCCTGCTGCACTCAGAACAAGCCCAGGAGGCTGCAGGAGAAGTAAGTGCATCCTGGAAAGAGTCTGACTCTGGAGCTCTCTGCTCCATTCCACAGGGCTCTGTGTTGGAGAGCAGCCTCTTTGGGGGGGATAGAAACTCACGGCTGGGAGTTCCAGTGCAGTTTTTCCTATCACCTAATGATCAATATTTAGTGGAATAAAAGATCAATTAATATATTCTTTTTCCTGAAGAATATTTTACAAACTCTTAGAAACACGTGGTATTGACTTTTCCTATCAGTTGAAGCTGCCTAGATGCTTTAAAAGTACATCAGGAAAGCAATGATAGCATAAGCAAAATCAATAGGAAGTAAGAGGGACAACTATGACTTTCCTTAAGTAACTATGTAATCCCTTTTTTCTTACAGTAACATATTTTCCACAAAGAAGACTCTTCAAGGTTGAATCCAGTACAGTCTCCTCCCTCCCCCTTCCTCCCCCCCTCCAGCGCAGGGCAAATCAAATGCTTGACAACATTTTTTGTTAGGAAAGCACACACAAAAAAATTTTGAATATACCAATAACAGCAAAAGTCTCTATATTTTTATTGCAAGAAGGAGATTTCATTGGCTGGGTGAAATGGCGAGATGTGACGCAAAAGGACACTTGGACGGTGGAAATGCTGATGTATGCCAAAGCAGGCGCACCAAGAAATGCTGTTGCTATGAGAGAAACAGAGGGAGAGGGAGGGAGGGAGGGACAGACCGTGAGAGAGCAACTTGTGGAGGCCTTAGTTTTCCTTTTTGGCTTAGAGCAGAGAGGCTGCAGCGTTCCTAGCAGAGAGGGTTTAGGAGCTTCCAGTGGGTATTTTGGTCAGGCTGAGCATTTAGTGGAAGGGAGGCTGACGAGAGAGATGCAGGTCACCTTAGAGTACAAAAGCAATTGGAAAGTAGGAGGCTGTATGTACCGAGCCAATGATCTGTGCTATGATAGATATACAAATTAGTACCGCAGATGAAGCAGCTTAGCTCATTATCCACCTGATGGGACCGAGACTTACAATTCAAAACGACAAAATTAAAATGCAGACACACACAGACATATATTTATAATGACCCCACCTTTTCATCTTAGGAATTATCCAGCTGGGATACCGACGTCTCTTGTGTAACATTCTTAAAGAGCTGCAGGAAATTCACCTTTGAGTCCATTAGCCAGAAAAGGGGGAAAATAATTTGCAGGAATTTTTTTTTTTGTCTCTCTTCTTCGGCAAAGGGGAAAAAAGTTTGTGCTATGAACTTAGCCGAGCAGCTTCTGGAACGTGAGCCAAAAGGGGCAGGAAGTTGTTTTACAATAGCGTTACAGTGATCTGCCACAAATGGAAAAAGCCAAATGTTGGACTCGGCAAAGAGCAAAAACATCCTTCTCCCCCTCGCTTGCCTCCTCTTGCCCCGTAAGAGAGAAAGAGGCAAAGGAACGCTGAGCTAGAGGTTCTTTTTCCTTTTTTAATTACTGCTTGTAAGTAATGGAAAGATTATCTTACTTGCATATTCCATGGCAAGCACGAGGGAAAGAAGTATCAAAGGGACGTTTAAAAAAATGCACTTGGTAACTAGCAACGGGACTTTTGGCACAATTCCTTGAGTTTGCTTGAGGTTATGGAGGGGGGATGGGAAGAAGAAAAGCGAGTCGATGTGGTACGTTTTCTCTGAAAAGGGGGGGAGAATGGAGGCAAAACTATATAAAACTTTTTTTTTTTTAAGGAAATGTGTGTTGATCCTCTGAAGCCGAATCCTCAGGCATTTGTGGCCCGTCCTTGCAGCCCGGTATGTTTTTTGTGAGTGTGTGCGAGCGCTCTCAATCAAACAGCAATCATGGCAGCTGTTTTTCTTCCAGCACAGCAGTTGAGCTGTCTCGCCCAAATGCTTATCAGCTTTTGACTCGGTGCCAAGAGAGTTATAAGGGCCAAGCAGCCTGAGCTTGGCTGTGCAGCTGGTTTGGAAGTAAGGGCATGAGAAAACAAAATCACAAAGTTTTTCTGTCACATACAGTATTTACTTTTTCAAATAGCCATTTTCAGCTCGGTGGGTTGGGGCTGGTTTTATGTGTGTGTGTGTGTGCTGCAGTCCGGGGTCCTTGCGGGCTGCTGTGCGACACAGAGCCGTGGAGGTACGTGTGAGTGGAAAGGGGAGCCTCTCCTCTCCGTATGAATCTCGGCAGTATTTCCGTAGAACCCGCCCCAGCTTCCCCCCCGGTGCAAAGCTTCATTAGCCGCACTGCCCTGTCCTATTGCCATAGCGTGGCTGCATTGACGTTCCAGCGCAGCGCCTTCGCTCCCTCCGCTCCCTCCCTCCGGGTCCCCAGCGCGGCCCGCGGGGGTCGCGGCGGGGCCGGGCTCGGTGCCGTCCGTGTGCCCGTGGCTGCGGGGGATGGAAGGAGCCTGCCCGCGCAGGGCCGTGCCGCTTTCATCATCAGCTCCAGCCCGCTGCGTTTCGCTGGCTCACGTCCTCCTCCTCCTCCTCCGCCAGACTGCTCCAGTCGCTCACAAGGGGGAGGCCGGACTCTGGAAAGGCGGCCGCCGCTCGCATTCCTGCTGCAAGGGCCTCCCCTTCAGACGGCCTTTGCCAGAGCAGAACTTTTAAAAATGCTGCAAATAGGATCTTCTTTTTCCTCTGCTTGCCTGAGCCCTCCTCTCCTCTCCCAGCGTTCCCGAGCGGGGCTGGTTCTCGCCTCTCCTGCGCCGTACATCCCAATGCGGAGGGCAAAGCGCCCAGGGCTCGCCCTCTGCTCATCCTTTTCCCTCTCTCCCTTTTCCCTCCGTTGAGGAAATGGATTCCTTTGCCTGAGCAATGACTCGGGCTTTGCCGGTTCGTGTGCTCTGAGGATGAAGGCTTTTACTTGTGATTTTCCTCCCCCGACTCCCAGTGCGCAGTGCTGCTCAGGGAACGAGCCTTTCGCTGCCTTTCTCTTTCTCTTTTATAGAAATATATTTTTAATAGCTGTAGGTATCTGCGCCATGTGAAATAGGGCGGGTGATATCCCTGCAACCCCTTGTAATTGGACCATGGCTGGAATGGAAATACTGGGGGGGGGAATAGGGGGTGCACAGGCTGTTTCGTCCTTGCAGACCTCCCCCCCTCTCTTCTCTGCCGAGGAGGGAAAAGGGGATGTGCAGTAAAATGCCGTCTCTGGGACAGGTGCCAGCTCCTAGACAAAAGAAGTAGAATAGGCGGTAAAGGGGGGGGGGGAGATTAATAGGCAACAAAAATAGGAACCGAAAATCTCCGAGTGCAGCGCTGGCGAAAGGGCTGGTGCCCGACCGGCCTTTTTGCTGAATATTTGCTGTGCGAGGGGTGGGAAGGAGAAAGTTGCGGCACACTTTTTATTCCCGTCTCCTCTGCAGACGTTTGGGAGCGTGAAGGGAGGGTGGAGGGCGCCTTTTTTTTTCCCTCCCTTCTTCTTTTCCCTCCTTTCTACTGAATTATTCATAGTGTCAGTGGTGAAGCCAGGACTATTAGCATGCATCAGACATGCTGTTTGTCTGTTTGCTAACATTCTTCATTCAAGACTTGTTAACTACCAGACAAGCTTAACACGCTTCTCTTTTTCCCCTCCCCTCCTCTCTCCCTCCGTCTCTCCCCCTCCCTCCCTCCTTCCCTCCCTCCCTCCTCTCGCTTCTCCCTTCCCTCCTGCCTGCCCTGCTGCCTTCCCTTCCCTTCTCCGCCGTCCGTGCCACCCTCGCAGCCGCCCATTGTTGCCGCGGGGCCGGTGCGGGTCTCTGGGCGAGGCCCTGCCCGGCCGCGCCGCCCGCGGGGACTGCGGAGCCGCATCCAGCCCTGCCGGGTAAGCTGCTCCCGCCGGGGCGCGGGGGATGCCAGCCGGGAGAACCAAGTTTGGGAACTACGTGGGGATCGGCACATTGGCTCGCGTCTGCCTGCGCATTTATGATTAACCAGGAGTGCGGGAGCACCCGGCGAGCCCCGCGCTCGTGCGGGAGGATTGCTTTGCTGGCGATTAGGGATGCGATAGACTAATATTTGCTATTGTTGCTGTTTTTTAGGTTCTCCTCTCCTTCTCTGTCGAGTCTGCCCCTCCCTTCGCTAGCCTGTTTAAAACCAGCAAGCTTCATTTTCTTAGCAGACAAAGGTCGCTCACAGCTTTTATTTCTGAATGCAAATGTTCTAGGACTTGTGCCAGTCCTGCCTTCATTGAGCACAATATAGCTGCTTTCCTGAATGGCGCTTCCCCCTTCCCTTCGAGAAAAAAAAAATAGAAGGGAGCTTCAGAGAAGAAGCAAAGTTGGGCGGTGCAAGTTTTTACATTTATTTAATATTTCAGCCTGTGTGGAGCATTATTAAGCACCCCTGTGCTGAGCAGCTCCAAGGCAGCCGCCAGCCAGTGCGTGGGGTGTGTTTGTAGGGGCACACACGAGAGAGGGGCCGCGGCCGCATTGCTCAACTCCTGGCTCTGCAGGTAACTATGGGATCATCTTCACTCATTGTACCTCCTCACACTTGGGCTTCCTGATTTTCCTAGCAACGGGAATTTGAACATGAGTATTTTCAGGGTTCATATTTAAATTTTGTAATAGCTGGAATTGTTCGGGGTCGGTTTATAATTGCCATCTTCATCATGTATTTTTAAAAACTGTTTTTCGAGGCCTTTAGAGGTCCGTAAGTGCCATAAGTGTATTTTCTCTTTATGTTCTCCGTGCGCACACGGGCACATGCTCACGCGCACTCCCACTCTCTTTCTCTTCGGGTGTTAATGAAGGAATTTATTTTAAGTAGAACACTTAAATATTAGAATAATGCCATTTATAGACCAAAGTAGCATGTGGACATGGATGTTCTGAGTTAGGCGCAATTTGACAGATGGTTAAACGCTTTAGATTTATTACTGCTATGAAATTGCCAGACCTATGATAATACTTACTTTGAATTCTTTAGATAGACAAGTCCGTGTGCAAATTAAAGTATCTGGAAATTAATATATTTTAAAGATACTTTATGAGGAATCTATTCCTTTTGTATATATTTCTAAAATAAAATGCTTTTTCTACACTGGAAAAAAATGGGACACTTCTGTAAATTATTTTAATCTTTTAATTTTATTTATGTCTAGGATTTAAAGTAAATAACTAAAGAAATGCAAATAAATTTGGGGTTTTTGTCCACAAAACAAACAAACAAAAAGCCCCTAACCCCTACAAAATAATTGGAAAATACTTAGTGCTTATAGACAAATAGTTTTAAATTCAGGCCATTGACAGCATTGTATCAAAATCATCTCTGTAGTGGCTTTGCATTAGGAGTGTTTTATGGCAACATAAACTGAAATACAACTCATAACTGTAAGTAGTAAAACAGTATTTATTGGCCGATCACCCTAAAAGTAGCTGGAGAATGTTTTAGTGAACTGTGTAGATTAAGAAAGGAATTTAGGAGCATATGGCTTGGTGATAGCTAAAATTAATTTCTTCGAAGGAGTTTTTAGAGGCCTGTAGTAGCTACACAGTACAGTGCAGATAAAATATTAGTTGAGGCTTTTAACTCGCAGTCGTTACAAAATCATAAACTGCTGAACACTCCTCACTGAGAGATTTCAGAGTGCTCGGTGGTATTGCTCCTAATGATGCCGTTTATCTAAAGAGGATTTTTTTTTATCCCTAGCTTGTAATACTTGGGGGGCTGTTTTGTTGCTGAGGACTAGCAGTTAAAGGAATATAAAATTGCTTCTGGTGTATTAGTTCATTATTTTGTGGTGGCTTGCTAGAAATGATGTCTCTGAACATAAAATGAGCAGAATTGCCTGGTTCATTTCGCAGGGAGGATTTCTGTAAGCATGCTGAAAATGAACATAGCAGTGCAGAAAGACCATGTGCATGTTAATTGAAGAGGGATTAAAATCTGTTCATTACATTGGTGATTTCCAGGTTTCCAAATTAAAATTATTTTTAGTCTGTAACTTGGAATATAACTGCAGATAGAACTGTTCAGCCCCTCAGATGAATGCCTTCAGGAATTATGCACGTGAGCTGGAGCATTTACATTTTGAAAGTGTTTTGTGTTGGACTGCCAAGATTCTCGTACAAAATGTTTGGTGCACGGAATGAAAAATTAGAAACATAGACAATACTTTGCTTAATTAAAATATTATTTTTTTTAATAGCTGGCTAGGATGAAGTTTTGCATATTTTCAGATAATAATTGAGGGAAAGAGTGAAAATAATCTAAGATGCACTGGTTTTGCTCCCAGCTCCGTCTTTCTCCCTCATCCTCCAAAAGGATATTTGTCCTCCAAAAGGATATTTTAGGTGTTACTGATAAGTGAATGATCCATTCTTAACCTCCCACCTATCCTGACTAAAAATCTGTCTTTTACCGAGTGCTAGTGAGCGGGGAACACGAGGGCAAGGTCCGTGTGTTCCAGGCCTGGCACGAGCGCCGTGCTCCGTGCGTGGCACAGCGGCCATCCCGGGGGAGCGGGCTGATCCCAGGGGAGCAGGCCCACAGCCCAGGCAGGAGGGGTGCCATGGCATCCTTGCTGTCAGAGGTGTGACAAGTGGGGCGTCTGCCGAAAGTTTTTAAAATGAATTGCAGTTCTGTCGGGTGCACACTACCAGGTTTGGATCAGGGTAAGAGAGATTTTATTATGGGTAAAGGAGAGGGAAAAGGGAGGAGGTGCAGAAGAGAAAGGGAATGGAGCTGGAGTTAGCACTTTCAGATACACTGTGGGTGCCGTCCCGGGTTCTCGTGTTCCTGCAATATAGTGAGTCGATAGAACTGTAAGGCTGGGTTGTGTTTTGTGTGGCGTGTGGGTACAG